ACAGAAAGCGTGACCTGAGTGTCCTCTGTTGCCGTTATAGCTCTGGTGCACAAACAGCCCCCCATTTCACTGTGTTGGGGCTTTATTCACTTTGACTTTGAGTCCAGATGTGTGACAGTCCAAGATTATGAGCAGTGCTGGTGCTTGCCATGTGAACAGATTCGATGTGACAGCGGATCGAAAGGAAATGATCCACAAAAGCTCGGTCTCTATCACTTCTGAGCCTCGCCAATTGATCATTTGTGACGCGCGCTGAGATAATCTGAACGATCTGGAAGTGTGTTCTGTCAGATCAGGTTAGCGCGGATTGCAAATTCAACACAAACCGATCCTCTTTACATCCTGTGTGTCTCACTCGTTGGCGCTTTTCTAAATAATGAGTATTTATGAGAGTTGCTCTGATCCACTCATCCTTGCATTCCTCTGCCCTCCAGCAGGTGTGTGTTTGCATGATTCACTCCTCAGCACTGCCCACCCTCTCTGGCCCCAGCAATGCCAGAGCGCAGCACATCACTGCAAAAACTCTTCGCTGCACAGTCAGAGTCATACCATCTTTGTGTCAGTAGCAACATCCAACAACAGTTTTCTCCTCCCTCCCCTTCTCACTCCCTCTCTCTGCTTCAGCGCGCGAGTGACTAACACAGCATTAGCAAAGAGTGCCAAACCATCAAAAACATGCTGGTTTGATTATTTCTGTAAAAGCACGCAGATAACAAAGAAGTTAACATGTGAGTGGGCAGGCCGGGCAACATACACAAAGGGACGGCCAACACTCCCCGCGCCGCGAAGGCTTATTCTCAGAGCTGCCGGGCTTCTCTTGGCAGTTGACTCACAGTAAGAGCTCAAATGTTTGCTTACTGAAATTGCACTCTTAAACCAAATCATGCATACATTTGCACTGCAGAGTTTCATGGAATTTCTCTGGCAAGCAGCTTTGTTGTCATTTTCAAAAGCATCAGTGTGGGTTGTCTTTTCAGAAAGGATTAGCGCTCTCGCCGCTGGAATGAAGTCTGACACGCATGTTCAACTACAAGCCAGTCGCTTTCTTTCGTTTCTTCTCCCACAGATCTGAAACAAACAGTTTGCCAGATCACAGAGAGGATGTGATAAAGGGAGCTCACTAGCACATCTTAGATTCTAAGACCTGGTGTTAAAATTTTAGAGGAGTGCAGTGATGGTTAGAGACACTTGAAAGTAAAGGAAAGGCTCAGATTAACAAGGGAAAAAATGAGAATGGTTAATGTTTTCCTTTAAACTGCAGCTATTCACAAATCTATGGAAATTTAGACTTATTTTACTCCTTTACTTCATTTAAGTGTGACGAAGCGGGTGGGTCAGGGGTCTCAGTTTAAACAGATGTACAAGTTATATACCAGTTACCCAGTTCTCATCTATGACACACCAAAATAGTGTTTGTGGTGGCTCGGGATTTAGAGCAGGTCGTCAACTATTCAAAACATCAGTAGTTTGATCCCCAGCTCGTGCATCTGTATACTGAAGTGTCCTTGAAACACTTCCTGAATGCATCCATGTTTCCCATGGATTGCATGTGTGCGTAAGAGTGAAAAATGTGTCTTTGGATGCAGCTTACGTTGTAAGAAGCTTCTGGGTTTAAACCCATCTGACGACGATCATCGGGTTAACTGGTGATTGTAAAGTGACTGTCGGCGTAATCGTAAATGCAGAGGGTGTGCCAGCACGATTTAATGAATTCACTGAAACTTGATAAGTGGAAAAAAACTGTTTTTACTATAATACGTTTACTGATTTTCCTAAATCTTACCTCTGACATATATCTGCTATACAATATTATTTAAAAAAATGTTTTTAATAAATAGAACTACAATTGAAACCAAACTAAAAGAAAACATTTTCAAACAATAAAAACTAAACTGAAACAAGCAAAACTATCCTGGAAAGACTGTTAAAAAAAAAAAAGTTAAAGTGAAATCAGAATAAAAACTAATTAGAAAATACAAAACTATAATAAATCTGCTGAATTCAGTTGAACTAAGCATAAAGGAGTCTTCATGCATTGAGTCCACACAATTCACTCAGTTACAAATCGCAAATTAGCAACAGATTAATGTTAAATGTCCAAACCTAGTTGTATCTATGCCTTTAAAGGGTTAAAAAGATAATCCATCAAGCTCCACAGCAATGCACTGCACTGTCCACTGGAGCAAAATGTAACATGTGTCACTGCAATTACCATACTTTACTTGAAACAGAGGAGGCCTAAAGACGTTTTTAAGTTGTGAGCGCTTGGGATAAACATGCAAACTCCACCTATAAAGACTGCAGCTGGACAATGGATTTGAGCACAGGACCTACTGGCTGTGAGGCGACTGTACCACCAAGACTGAATAGTGAAGAAAAATGCAAGAGAGGCACTGAAATACATGCTAAGAGATATCAGACAGACACCGTGGTCATTTTGTGACTCTGTTCAGTTTCACAAACCAAAGAAAAATCATTTGTGAACCTAAAAATTTAAACTGCAAGTTGCTGACTGGAAATGTCAAAGAATAGAAATCAGCCAGTCAAATTCAGATAGAAGGGAAAAATATTATGACTAGCAAATTAAGACAAAGTGCATCATTGATTTCAGGTTGGACAGAACGTGTTAGGCATCCACAGAACAGTATAGCTTCTGGAAAGAGTCACAATGGACCTGAACCCAAATCCATTCATTTACCACTTATTACAATTAACTCTTATTAAATATTATAAAGACCATTCAAGCCTAGATTTATTAGAAAGCATACAGGGTGATTTTCATAACTCAACAGTACAAGGTTTGCTCTTATAATGCCTTATAACTGATTATAACGCATTAGTAAATGTCTTGTTATCCCCAATGTTAAAAACTTATTAGGAGAAAGTTGCTAAACGTTTAAAAGTAAAAAGCTAAATTCTCTTTCCACTCATTCATGAACTTCATTCACGAACTTCATTCACGAATCTATCACTTCATTCATCTAAACATCCATTCATTCTTTCTTTCACGGCACACAAGATTTAACCCAGTGTTGTAATAATCATCTCCCTCGCCTTGTGTGTGTGTATGTGTGTCTGCTTGTGTGTGTGTTGTGTGTGTATGTGTTGCTGTTGCCAAGGCAAGGAAGTCAATATCCATTCAGCTATTTAAAAACCTGCACTGGGCCCACTTTCCACTCATTCAGCAGAAAAACAACAACACATTGTGAGGTGCGATTCTCACACTCCTGCCCTTCTGTAAAGATGAGGATGCGCCTCTCTCAAGGATACTGAAATGACTACACACACATACACACACTAACACTGACACACTCAGTCATCGAGTCAGCATGAAACTCAAGCCATGAGACGCTGGAGGAAGTGGACGGCATTATGGTTTTCTGAGGCTCAGCAAACTGAGACTGACTACATACTGGAAAGACACACGAGGATCTAAAGTTTAAATGATGGCAGAAACAGCCAAAGCAGAGCGATGGGGGGAGATGATGCAGTGCGGATGAGAGAGGTCCGTGGTGGAAATAGTTGAGCTCTTTACTTGAAGTACTGACCAGAAATGTGTTTTGGGAACAAATTTTTTCACTTTACATTTGACCTGAAGCGGAGGGAAAGGTTCAACTCTTTTTCCTGACGTTTGTTTGACAGATGTACTTCAGACAGTTTAAGTTTTATAAACCTAACAACACATTAAGATTAAACTGATATCTTTAAGTGAATAGGTTGTGCTCTGGCCAATATATTCACTCATGGCTTGAGTTTCATGCTGACTCGATGACTGAGTGAGTTGGTGTTAGTGTTAGGGGGAAGCATACATCTACGACTGCGTTAGCCTGTCTTTATGTGCTGCAGGAGGAGGATATCTACAGACAGGAGTAGTGCTGTGATGGCTCTTCCCAAACTCACTGATAAGAAAGGTAGTAAGAGGAGTCAGGTATGGAAATACCTCGTGGACACCTGGCACTGTCTTTGTGGAAGCAGTTATTTTTCTATGGGCTAAAATGTTTCTATCAGCTAATGCTACATAAAAGCTTAAGCTAACGTAATGTAGCATTAAGTAGGCTACTCAGCAAACATGCTAACATTTTACCCTGTCTTTTGAGCAAAATATAAAGTCAACATTTTAATGATATAGAATGCCACTGATTTAAAACCACTTTTTAATAAAGGAGGTCATCTATAAGTACACAGAAAACCTAGGCATGGAAAATCCTGTCATACCACTTGTATTGTCACAGACTGCTACATTTCTGTTATTGTGACTTCCTGTGTTTTCTCCACTTGAAAAAAGCAAACGCTATGTTGTGTTGCTAGTGATGCAAAAATGTATCTACTTTGCTAAGGCACAAAAAAAGAAAGTAGTATTGAAGTAGAAAAACAGCAAAAGTCAAAAGCAAACGTTTTGGAGTTTTTTGGGGGGTTTTTTTCAAACGTTTCTAAAAAGTCTCATTTTTAGCAAGCTCTTTGTAATATGGTTACAAAAAGTGAAAAGTTCATGATAAACTACACCTATGATTGGCTTTTTTAAAAATTACCATTGTTTGAGAATTCGGGCATAAAACGG